ACCACTCCTCCTCGCGTCCCCTCAGCGATGCGGTGGACTTGAAGCCAGCGACGTACTCTCCAATGTACTCGCTCTTGGCGCGGTACAGATCGCCACTGACCGTTTCGTGGCGCTGCAGGGCCGCCTGGACGGCATCGTGCGCCGCGTCAAAGCGGGCGTCAAGCGTCGTGGCAGCACCGCCGTCGCCACGCAGCAGCCGCTCCACACGCATCAGCTCCACCTCCACGGCCGCTGGCAGCTGAAGCGCGGCCTTCATGTCTCCAATGAGGCACCGTACTTCGTCCAGCTGCCGCCGCGCAGTGTCCCGCAAGTCACGAGTCTCCTCCTGCTGCTGCAGCAACTTCTGCAGAACCTCCCCGCTGGGGAGTTCGCTGAACTTCGACATATCGGCCCCAAGCTTGGTGGAAAGCGGCACTGCGTCGACGGGTGTGGTACTGTTGCTGGCGCCTTCGCTGGGCAGCGGCTCCACTTCGGGTGTGTCGGCTATCACATCTTCCTCGCGCGCCGCCCGTGCGTAGTAGATGACGTCATTCTCGTGATGGTACGTCTCGTGGAGGGTGACGATATCAGTGAGGATGGTGTCGGCGAGTGGAAACACACTTACCAGATCGGACTCCTTCAGCAGCCGCGCAAGCTTTGCGAAGGGCCGACGCGCTCTCTGGCCGTTATCCTCGTCATCGGATGAAGTCACTTCTGCGGAGGCACCGGAACCGCCAGTAAGCATAGCGCTCAGTCGTCCGAGTACACCCCGCTTGCCGCCCTGTCGCCTGCTCCTCGACGAAGAGGACGCAATGACCTCCATGCAGTGCTGCTGCATGTCTTCCACCAGCCTCCACGCGTAGTCGATGTGGCCGAGGACAAGGGACATCTCGGGGACCTTTTCGGCTCTGTAGTAAGACTCCGCACGGTGGCGGTGGTAGGCAGCAAGCAGCAGCGTTGGCAGCAGTCGCAGCGACTCCGATGCGACGGCGTCCGGGACTGTCAGAACGGCGGCCTGGTGTGCAAGCTTCGCGAGCGCGTCATGCTTCTTCGCCACTGCACCAGAGGTAGTGGAATAGACGTACTTAGAAACCGCAACACAGAGCTCCGCGAACTTTCGCACCCCACGGAAGTCGAGGTGCTGCCGCAGCAGGTGGCGGTCGGAGGCGGCGAGTAGAGCGTCGGCGTCGAGCGCAAGCGCCTGCTCCGCCGTCCCCGCGAGGTCGGCAGCGGCCTGGTAGCTGCGGTACGCCGCCTTGCTGTTGCTGTT